CATTTCGACGTCGATTAATGACGTTTTATATATTCCCATCAATTATTTAACATGATGCTTGCTTAATCCCGTATTTTCTACACATTTTATAATTTTTCTTTTTGCCTTTTGTTGGGATAGACGTACGATCCTTGTACGCTGCACCTGAAGCTTCGTAATCACGTCCCACACCCACTAAAAAGGCAAAAGAATGGCTTAGGTTTACGGTTTTTAGTACGAGACCAAATCATTGTACGACCAAGATTTTCCAAGCCCTTGTTTGGACTTCATTTTTAAGGCTGTACAAAATTCTCGAATTGAAACGAACCGGACCCGAAACGAATCGAATCGAATCGAGTGATTCTTCTTAAGTTAAATATCCGAATGAGTATTTGAATCGAGAATCGACGAATTTGGTTTGATTCTCGGTTCTATACCAAGAACCGAATAATCGAATAAGAATCAAATCTCTTTAATTTTTTTTAATTTTTAATTTTAAATAAGTCAAATTATTTTATTTTTTTCTCAATGAATTTGTTAACTGATTAATTTAGCTCAAACGTAAAATATAATTTTACTATTTCTAATTTTCAGCCAGCTCAATTTAATCAAATTGACCCAAATTTTATCCAAATCTCTTATTTTACCGTAGTGTCGTTTCTGCCATTTTATTATTGTGAACTAACTACCTTCATCTTCTTGTGATTTTAACAGACAAATTTATGAAGAACTCAACAAAGAGATGCGCAAAATATATCACCAGATTGAACTATATTATTTTGCAAGAGTTAATGTTAAACATGTCATAGTCGAACTAATGTAGTGTTGTTGGAAATATAAAAAATTATTATTGTACGAAACTCGGGAACCGAATAGAACAGAACCGCATGGTAATTTTTTCAGAGAATATTTGGTTAAAAATGAAATGAAAAATTTTGAATTTACGAGTAATATTATTTTATTGAAAAATGTGTTAAAAAGAAAAAAGAAAAAAATTGCATTAAAATTAAAATGGTAATCAGGTCAAAGCCGACAAAAGGTTAATTAATTAACATTATGTTAAAAAAATAATAAGTAATTACCTAGTCTAGATATATAGAAAATAAATTTTATAGCACTGCAATCAACAAAATAAGTAAACGTGCTGAAAAGTAAATAACACCCATAGGTTGAGTTTTGGCCTAGACGAGTTTAAGCAAAGCTTATGAGTTAAAAGCGTAAAAAAATGATTTCTTATTTTAATATTATTTTAGAATTTTAAATTATTTATAATTAAAGAAAAAAAGCGTAAAAAAAGCGTTGAAAAGTGTAAGCGATCACATGACATGATATGATCCATAATACGATGGCAAGTCCGGACAAGGATCCAATGATCGTTGAGAAATGACTTATGACTAGGTCGAGAGCGAAGCGGGTCAAAGAAGCAATTAAACTACTTGCTCAACCCATAGTGGACAAAACATTGATCATGGTAAACAAATGGACAAATTTCATGTTGAGTTTGAAAGAAGAAACCAGATGAATCAACTTGATTCAAACAGCGGACGAGAATGCTGAAAAGAGTAACTATGGGATCACATAGTTACCCTAGGCATGCGATTGCATGTCTTTATACAAGGAATCAGAGCAACACTTTTGTATAAACTATGCGATTGCATGTCCATACACTATGCGGCCGCATAGCACAATTTTGGCGTGGATTTTTCAATTTTTGGAAAGAATCTTAGTTTATTTAAAATTCTAATTTTATGGTATTTTTTGATATTTTGAATATTAATTCTGTTTTTAAGTAGGTTTATGGGTTTCATAAAAATAGGGTTCATTCCATTCATTGTAAAACATACAATTTGAGAGATATTATTACGAAACATATTGCTTTCTTCTCGTTCTTCAATGAATTAATTTTAAATTTATCAAAAATTAAATTCTTGTTGTGCTCTACAATTTAAGTAAGGCTCATAAGTTTTGTGATCATGAGATCAAAATATTGTTAGTGATCGTCTTGGTTCTTTGATTCAATAATTTATTGGGTCGAGCTTTTCAAACGTTGATTCTTAGTTTTCTTAGGTTTGTTCTAATTTTTCGTGGATTTCGTAACTACTATTGTTAGTGAGTTCGCATTAGTTGGTATAAGAGCAAAGTTCCAAAAATCAAGGTTATATCTTTATTTTTTTTTCTTTTGTTTGAGTCTTTATTTTTCAATTCTCCGTATTTTTTTGCGTTCTTCAATTATTTTTCATCTCTAATCTATAAAATTCCAAAACTTGTGTTGTGTGCTAATTTAACATCCAAATTAGTTTTTTTTTAGCGATTGTCTTGATTATTTGGTTCAATAATTTATTGAATTGAGCTTTTCAAAAGTTTATTTTTGGCTTTCTTGAGTTTGTTCTAATTTGTAGTAGGTTCTGTAGTTACTATTGTTACGTGTGTTCGCATCATGACATACCTAGGCATGAAAAAAAATAAAAACAAATGCAAAAAAGAACTAAGCGAGACGTTTTGCTCCGGCTTTGCACTTAGGCGCCGCTATTTAGAACATTGGTTCAAATACATCTAAACTTTAGACTTTATTAGAGTCTGGTTTCCAAATCGTAATTTTTCAAAAATACTCCTATTACGTGCTCGAAAACGTTCCAAAATTTCTGTACTTCTCTTCCCTTGTAAATATACAAGAACGACTTGTTCTTCCTTAATTAAAACTTCGATCACCTCTCATATCCATCAAAATTCTGAAAACTATATGGTAGAGGATTTTGTAGTGTTTTGATTTTTCAATGTGGATGAAAATTTCGATTACAATCTGTTTCTTCGAATCTCAGATCTTCCCCTCCTCTTTTCTTTTCTCGCAATGAAAGATAAAAATTTTTGTTTATAGACTGCATTTTACAATTCTAAGTGGTTTAGGAGTGTTCAGATGTTGAAATAGGAAAAATAGGATTTCTCCCACTTGGATGGGTGCTCGAGCACCATCTCGACGTTCATCGAGCACACATATTCTGGAAAATATGCTCGAGCACCTTCCGACAGTCCTTTAGCATAGACAAGTTGGGTTTTTCCACTTCTATCATTTTTAATGACATACTAAATTAACTATAAACATCCATTAACATAACTCCAATTACAACTCGATTTAATAATTTTGGACACGAAATTTACCAAGACTTAGTTCAATATTGTGGGTGTTTGTGGGGACCCTTTCATTGAATAACCCACATTTTCTTTTTACTCATTATATATGTTCATATATCTAAATATATTTAATTGATTGCAGTTTTGTTTTATATAAACGATAAATAAAGATCTTCTCATGATTAGAAGAGCTCTCCTTTCCTTAATCAATTTCAATTTCTTGTAATCCATTATAGTTAGTACTATAATGTACTGTTGATTTTAACTTTGTGAAATCCGAAGATATTATTCTTTTGAGCAAGGTGCCTATTTTATTTAATATGTGATATTTAATTTATTCGAGATGCAGTCATTTGTGTGCATGCATGTACATCTAAGCCTAGCCGGACTTTGAAATCCTGCCGATCCTTGTCACTAATTAACAATCAATGTCATTAATATCGATCTGGACGCATTGGTTCGAGTTAAAATTAATTTTTCATTTTTTTTATTTAATTTTCTAACCATCATTTTGACCATTGACCTTTCTGAGGTCAACTATCGAGTTTGAAAACTTTACAGTAACAAACCAAGTCATGGCTAGGTCGTTCTTTCAAAAGTCTGGTACTGTTAAAAGTCTTATGCCTGGACGGTCCGGTCTATTTTGAAACCCTTCTATAACTATCAATATGTCTTGATTAGAGGAAGTCTCGTAATTATAAAAATTTATTACCAGTGTACACGGGGCCGGTTTTGCATAGAGGCGAGTGAGGCCCGCACCTCAGGCCCAACATTGGAGGGCCTTAGATTTAGCCTTTCATTCTTCCTTTTTTTTTTTTGGTCGATAAAACGTTTGGAACATTGTCGTTTTTGTGATTTGATTATAATATAATTTTTTTGTATAATACATTTTATATGTTGTTTTATTGTTAGGTATTTAAATTAACAACTTTTGAATCCATAATACACTTATAGATTTTGCATTCATACTACAATTTTGGGACCTAATTTATAAAATTAGCCTCAAGTCCCGAAAAGCACGGAATTGGCACTAAATGTACAAAGCTGGAACCTTTATGAGTTTTCTTCTCATTAGAACTTAAAAAAGAAAACCTTTCAATGAATGTAAAAAGGAACTTATAATTGAAAAGCAGTTTTAGCTAATTTCAAAAGGTTTTAAGTAAGTTTAAAGTAAATATTTTTTATGTTGATTATAGTTGAAAATAAATAAATTACTTATTTTGACAATATAATACGAGTTACTCCAAGGTAACTTTTTTTAACTTTTAAAAGCAAGATAAAGGAACCATATATAATCATTTTAGGAAACAGAAGTTTTGTAACTTATAGCTAATCGTGCTTGAATCAATTAATTTTACTTGATCAAAATGCTCCAATCAACTTTTAGACTTGCAAAAAGTAAGTGGGCCCCCAAGGCACATCTCCAAATGGTAAAAGGGGAAGGTGGAAAAACTCCAACTTTGCTTGAGGCTGCCGCGTCAAGGGTTCGAATCCTGAAATATGAATTTTGTCCTTGGATAAGTGCAAGTGTATAAGCAGTCTTCCACCCTATACCATTGGAAGCATAACCTGCAATTTACCTCCTTTACCAAGACCCATGGTAGGGTAGGTGGGGACCGCTAAGGATGCGGTTCATCATTTTACAAAAAGTAAGTGGAATTAATTAAAAGTAACTTTTAAACTCATTCAAACACGCTCCAATCAATATTTTGTTGAAAATAAGTACTTGATATTTATCTTTGACTATAATCAAAACCCACCAGCATTCATGGCTTGTGGATCAAGATAATATCGGGATTAAAGTTTTTATTACCAGAAGACTGTAAAACTAAAGATGGAAAAGAGAAAAAAATAAAAAAATCCTAGGTACATAAATTTTCTTGGAAGGGAAGCTAACAAGGAAAAGGTGGCATGAGATTCAACCTCAAATCATCCTTCTCCAAGATCAATCTTGCCTTGTTAGTCTCCATAGTAGAAGAAGAAAATTCAGAATGCAATCTTTTCTTGGATGGGAGTTGCACACCAAACAGCTTTGTATTGCACATTTCGCTATTTGTTGCCGGCCTTTCAAGACTTATCACTGTACTGTTCACAGGCAGTGCCACTCTCTGGTTTATAGAATGTTCAGGTTGAAATATGGCTTTCAAATTACGTTTTGAATTCGCGGATGCCGCCAAAAGGACGGCGGCAGAAGGTTGTGCTGATGAGTTACATGGGAATAGAGAAGAAGGATAAGAATTGCTATGTGCAACTGGCTTCACATGGTTCTGAACGAAGTAAATAATATCATTGTATAGTTTTCTCATGTGGGCTAATTCAGATGTGAGCATACTGTTTCTCTTTCTAAGCTTTTGATTATCTTCTGAAAGCGCAGTGACTGAATTGTTGCTGCTGCTGCTGGTGAAGTTTGTTATGACGGAGATGCCGGTGGGAGAAGAGAGTGGCGGTGAATCACACCAATTGGGTGGTTGCTGCTCATCGGAGTCTGGTGGTGAGATGCTGACTCGGGTTGTGTATTGGGGGAAAAATGGGCTACTGATTGAGTGGCTGGGATAGTGGTGATGGTCGTTGAGGGCCACTTGCGTCTGAGCTGTTTTTCTCCGGTGGATCTCACACAATAATTGTTTCTCACCCTTTTTAAAGAAATCGTTTGCAAATTCCCATCTGTCTGGTACAATCTTTCTGAAACCCTAGTTACATCATCACCCACAATAAAGAAAGAAACAAAATCAATATATATGAGAAGAACATGAGTTCATGCACACAGCCGTGCATTATAGACATGTTTGATAAAATACTCGACATAGCTGGATTGTACGTTAACTTCTTTGTCTTCGTTAACACCGTCGACAAAAGTAATGCAAGTAGCACAAACACCAATTTAGGTGTCATTAGAATCCAAGCTCTACAATTGGTTAAAATATATATATAATTAATTACCAACTGTAGGCAATGGACCTCCACTGCCACCTGAACATCAGTTGTGCTATGCAACATTTTTTGTCCAACGATATAGAGTCGAGCATACCAAACATGTAATTACACGCACATAGTATGGAAACACTTACATAGGTGTTGAGTTGGCGGACGAAGCTAGAGAAATTGTTGTGTTTGAAATAGTTGGGAAGAAGGTCACGAGCAAACTCCGATGGACGCCAAACAACAAAGGTTGTTTCATCTTCACCCCAAGAAACTATGTGGTTTGTTGTGGGATCATCGACAAGCTGGTATGTTTTAGTCAAAAATGGAGCTGGGACTGATTTATGGGATTCTAAGGATAATAATATGCCTTCATAGTTATCTAGCATTAAGGCCATGGAGAATCAAGAATTGGCAGAAAAGCAACAACACACTCTCCAACAATTTCTTTTGGGTTCTTGAAAATAAGAGTGGAAAAGGGGGGGTTTTTTAAGGTTTTTTCGGGGGGTGGAGGTGGGGGAGGGTATGAGAGAGATTGAGGGGGTGGATTTTGTTAAGAGAAAATTGGACCATTGGTCCTCAACGTATTACCTTAGTGACAAATTTGTCCTCAACTTTTAAAATGGAGCAAGTTGATCTAACCTTTCATTATAATTGCAACAATGACACAAACTATCGAACTCCTCGTTAACTATTAGGTGTCCCTAATGATATCGTGAATCAATTATAATTTCCAAAGCATTGGTTCAACACGTGAAGAAAAACTTAACTTCTCAAAATTGAACATAAGAGGTCACTTAATTATTTACATCACACATGGAATTGTCTCTAACTTGTTTCATTCAAAGACTTCTTCCAACGTTTCTCGGGAATAGTTTTTGTCATTAAAGATCAGTTCAGAAACTATAATGAATTATTGAGGATTAACTTGCTACTAGTGTAGTATATTAGGAAATTGTACTAAAATTTTTCCATTTTAATAACACCCCGTTTGATCCACATTCTTACAAAAATTCATTTTTTCAAAACTCATTTTCAGCCACACATTTTTTAATAAAATAATATTACGCGTAAATTTTAAAATTTTCCTAATTTTTTAACCATATATTTTATATTAAATTACTATTTAAAATGCATTCTCCACTCAATAACGTGCATCAGTCAAATTTAAATATGCTAAAGGCTACCTCGGTTATGTAGTGAGAGAGGAATATCTGTCTACTTTGAAATAATTCAAGACAAACCCGTGACACGCTTTCTCAAGTCAAGAAATTAGAGAGAGAGTTGAAAGTGGTACCCATTTGTTCTTTTTGTGTCTTTTTTGGAAAAAAACTTTTTGTTTCTTTTTAATTGTTATTGATCTTTGATCGTTTTAATAATGCTAATTGTATATAAGCCGCTCTAAACATGCTCTAATTTTCAGTACAATTTCAAACAAGACAACGTCGTAATGGTCTCTAGCCAACATAGCGGAATTCATTATGTTCGATTTGATACTCTTTGTAAATTCAAGATTTCCGCTAATCTTCTTTTTTTTTTCTCCGAGTAGAGAATAAAAGAGTTTTGATTCTTGAGAACTTCATGTTATCTTTGTCGACTCAAATATTAGGCGAGTCAAGCCTCTGCCTAATGCCTCCAATTTTGAAAAATGTACATATTTTTGTCCTTGTATCTTTCTTATGAAAATCTATGTCGATAATTAACCATATCAAACATAATAAGTAAAGATTACGAATGATTTTTTCGTTACTTAATTACAAACAGAAACAGTATAACAAATTTAACTTACTAATGGAATTTTTATCAATAAATAAATTAATAAAAGAGTTAAATTAAATACGAATCGAAATTTCTATCAGGAACAAAATAAAAGTTATATGGAAATAATAAAATAATCTTTAACTATTTAGAGTGTGTTTGTGATACATTCTTTTAAAGGATTGTATTACTGAATAGTAGATTGATAAAGAATGTGTGGTTAAAAATGAAGGAAAAGTTATTGATGTGATGGAAAATATTATTTTATTGAGGAATGTGTGGTTGAAAATGAGTAGAAGAATGAGAATGAAAAAAATTATGTGTACCAAACAGGACCTTAGTATCTTAAAAAAAAAAAAAAAGCACAATTAAAAATACCAGACAACAATTGTGTTTGAACCACATTATTTTGGAAGGATGTATTCTAGAATAGTATATTGATGGAAAATGTGTGGTTGAAAAAGAAGGAAAAATTATTGATGTGATGGAAAATATTATTTTATTGAGGAATGTGTGGTTGAAAATGAGTAGAAGAATGAGAATGAAAAAAATTATGTGTACCAAACAGGACCTTAGTATCTTAAAAAAAAAAAAAAGCACAATTGATGATTCCCGACAACATGAGTCACGATTTTTTTGTCGATGCTCATTGATAAATGTCTATTGTGGTCACCAACGATATCGTTATTAATAATTTTATTTGAATAATCAAAATCATAATCGTCATTCTATCGGTGATCGCCGACAAAGTTTCCACCGATGATCATTTACCCTATTAATTTTTTAATATTAATCCCAAAAAGACCCCCAAATTATTTAAGCTACCTTTGGTTATTAAGATTTAAACTATAAAATTTTCAAAATTATCACAATCTTCTTCTTTTGTTTGCACTTGAGATTGTAAATAGACTTCTTCCTAGTTAATTAATGAAAGAAATGCATGGGCCCTTTAATAATATAAGATAATGAGTCGTGAAAGGAATGAACATGTCCTTTGCAAAGGGCAATTTGTGATATGGATATAGAAATGAAACATGAAGAAGCTAGTGCACATGAGGAGCCTCTTTTCATGTTGTAGCTTACTTTTTTTCCAATTTCATAAAGGGAATTAAACAAAATCGAACAGTACTAGAAATGTTGAATTGTATAAGTCGTACTTTTCAATCACGTCTAATACTACACGTCAAACATAAATACGTATGGAACCAACTTGAACGGACACACCTTTTCAACTCCGTTTTGAATCATGACATAGCTCGAAATTTTGAATTATTTCTTAAAAAACTTCCATGAATGATGAATAACTAAGCACCTATTGTATATACCTAGGTATGCCAATTTTCAGAAAGGACATTTTTAGCTAGTCAAAATAAAAAGTGATCAATTCCAAAAAAAAACTTAATTTAATTGGCACTTTATAGCCATCAAATATCTTAAAATAACTTTAATAAAGTTTTCTTTTCTTTCTTTCTTTCTTTCCTTCCAATTCCAATTCCACTTCTCTTTCACTGTATTACCCAACCCTGGCACACGGTTTTCTCTTTCTTAGGAAAGCACCACGAAAACAAAAGAAAAGAAAAGAGAAAAGAAAGAAGGTACGAAGTTACACAAAAAAGTTTTAAAAGTTAGTGTTGAAAACTCCAAGAAACAGTAAGGAAAAAATGATTATTTACAGAGTTTTTAAAAGAAAAAAACTACTTTATTTCATTACTGGTTTGAACTTAAGATTCATTGATTAATTTTTGATATGTTACTTTAGGTATAGGGACATGAAATGGCCCAAAGAGTAACAAAAGGAAAATAATGAGTAATTATTTTTCTAAGATACACAACTGATTATATGATCATGGCTTTGCCACTCGTTATATTGCAGAAATCTATTGCACTGTTACAAGTACCCCACGCCAATAATTATTTTTATCTCTTTCATTGTTTTTTGCTGTTATCCACTTTCATTAATTTCAAATTAATTATAATTAGCCGAAACTTGTGTTATCTTGTTTAACAAGCAAGAAATTCCATTACAGTAAACTATTTTCTTTGGTGATGATGTTAGTACATTATATCACTTGCATGTTAGTACATTTTCTTCGGCTTGGGATCTTGAAAATGACGACGAGCAAGAGCGATTTCCTCTTTTTTTTTTTCATTTTATAGAACTTGTATGTATATAAAATATTGAAAACATTTTTTACTAGGGTCTGTTTGATTGTAAGAGTGAAATTTGAGTAGAAAGAAAATGAATTTCAGATAATTGAATTGCCTAGAATTGTTTTTCTGGGAAATGTTAATTAATTGTATTTGATTAATATAATTTTTCACGTGGAAAATATTGTTATTGTGGATTTTTTGGTGTTCGTTTGACTTTGTATATTAAAATTTTGGATCTTTTTGTATTTGTTTGATTTTGCTGTATATGAAAATTGTCCATTAAAGGGATAAAATTTGTTACAATTGGAGATATAATTTGTTTTCATTACAAAACAAAAAAAAAAAAGAAAAGTAAACTGGAAAACCAAATCCCACCAAATTGGTGGGAATTGATTTTCATCAAAAACAAGGAATTGGAACCGTGTGAGCCAATACAAAAAAATAACAGATATCTCAAACTATTGTATCTGTTGAACTTGACCGTACAAAGAGATAATTTATTTATTGAATTCGTGCGTTCACAAAATTTCACACATACAATTTAACTATTTAGTAAACGTCTTATGCGTGTATAATTTTCGTGAAGGTGTAACATAAAGACTTGAACAACTGTTATGTAGTATCTTTAAATTTTCATTTCAAAGAGTATATTGTCAAATAATAAGCTAATTTAATTATTTTATATTTTATTTTCAATAATGCAATGAACATGCTACTAGTATATGTTAATTAGGAAGATAGAGAGAAACAAAGATCCTATTCTATTATATTAATGCGCGTTTGGCCCCATTAGATTATAATTTATTTATTTTTCTCTCTTCTTATATGTTATCCCCCCTATCTGAGGTCCCAGCTCGGACACTACGTAAGCAAATAGGCCCACGTGGGACCAAATGTCAGCTGTAAATAGTCAGCAAGTCAAAAGAGACCCAGTAGGTCAAACATGCTAACGAAGACAAGTAATCTGAGATCCTCAACACAAATACCAGAAGTTATTACACTATAATGAAGTCTAGTCTGAAGCACCTCATCAAAGATGAGGCTCGGGCCATCTGAGGCTCTCTCAACGCGTTCGAGGTTCATAAAGATGATGCTGTTCCATGTAATGGATTTGAAGATCTCTTAGAAATGATTGATGTGATATTTGTAATAAAGTGTATCAGAATGTCAGTGTGTCAGCCTAAGAATAGAACGGCCCGCCCTCTGCAAAACATTGATCGCATAGATGGGATGATGATGTGAGGCTTCGCGTGGAGGATGCTGCCACGTGGCTTTGATCCGACGGTCACCACGTCGGCCGGGGTTGTATAAATAGCCTCAATTTGTATAAATGAAGGATGACAATTTTTATGTAAGAAAAAGAAAAATCAGAGAGACAGCACAAGATTGGTTTACATGTCTTGCTCTTGACAGTTTGCACATGTATGATAAACCAATGTATTGAGATCCCAATACCAAGTAATTCATATTCTCATAACTATCGTACCAC